TTTTGGAACATCCTTGGCTAGCGGGTTAATGTACGAGACTTGGATCCCTGATATAAGCTTGCATATGCTTGAGTATACGAGTTTTTTTGGTTTGATGAAACACAAACATAAATGAGTAGTTCATGTTGTTCGTGGAATTGGCATTTACTCGCTTACAAGATTGGGATCTGCAAAACATTGCCCTACACTGACAGTTGGTCCTCTGCCGCACGTGGCTTGGACTCAAAGAAAAGGTGCTTGAAAAAGAAGCTGCTTCAGACAGCTTGGGCAAACCTAGAACCTGGAGTGTGGATTAAAGATCATCTTCTTCTCCAAGGCTCAGATGGCCACAACTTCCTGAAGAGGTCCTTGGCAGCATCGTCCCCTCTGTAGTCGTAGCAGCCCTTGAACATGCAGCCTCTGCACGTGGCGCCCCTCAACTGGCTCCGCTGGCCCCCATACGAGCATCTGGAGCCTGAGTTGCAGATCAAATAAAAAGCTAGGGCTTTCCAGCCCTTGGACGTAAGAATGGGTTCTAACGAATGCAATGAAAGCGATTCCAATAGAAACAAGACTCAGCTTCGGCGCTTGGCGAAGCAGTCCCAGCCGAATGCGTGGATGAAGTTGTCATCGGCGTCGCCCACGTAGTCGCCACCTGAAAAGGGATGAACAAAAAATGTGGGCTTGAATTTGTAGTTTGAGCTTAGGGTCTGGGGTGTTGGGTTTGCTCGCCTGTGGCATTGACCCAGTACGGAAGCCAGGGGGGAATTCTTCCAAGGGCTTCTCCTGGCTCACTGCCCCACGTTGTTTGCTGTTGCTGCTGTTGCTGGTAGCCGTGGGAGGAGGAGCGTTGGCCTTGGGTGCGGCCGTAGTTGCTCCAAGGGCCGCCCTGGTTGCCGCCCTGGTTGCCGCCTTGGTAGCCGCCTTGGTTGCCACCTTGGTTCCCGGAGTTGGTCCACCCCTGCTGGTTCTGGCCATCCGCTTGGCCATCCCCTTGGCCATCCCCTTGGCCATCCTCTTGGCCATCCCCTTGGCCATCCCCTTGGCCATCCCCTTGGCCGGTGTTGTCAGTACCGTCTGCTGGGCCTGGGGGCTGCTCCGTGGTCTGCTCCGGGTTGTGTTGGTGGGTGCTGGTGGGCTCCTGGTGGCTGCCAAACTGGGGAAGCTCCTGGGGCGGGTCGACTTGGTCCTGGCCAAGACCCAAAAGATCATGGCTCTGGGGACCTTGGGACCGGTCGGACTTGGGAAGACCGGCTTGAGACCTGAGGTTGTCCATAGCATCCAGCATGTCTTCAGTGCGTGGAAGAAGCTTGAGGAGCTTCTCGGTCTCCATCTCCAGCCTGGTCGTGAAGTCCTGGTCCTTGGACTTGAAGACTTCCAACTTCAACCTGGACAACTGGTCCCTCACGTCCCGGTCGTACCTGGAGATGTGTGCTACCTGGAGCTTGGAGAGCTCTCTGTCGAGGTCTTGGCGCTTGACGACCAGCGTTCTGCTTAGGTCGTCACTCCTCGTCTTCGACCTCTTGGCCCTCCTCTCCTCCACCTCCTTTATCAATTTTTCCTCTCATTCGGCATCAGAGTTCGCCTTGACTTCTTCCATTGACTCTTGGAATTCTTGGAATTCCGTCTCTGTGGCCTGCCTTTCGTTTTCCTGCTCGTCCTGGAGCTGGGCCTTGGAAATCGTATATTCCTAGAATTCAGAATAGAAGGAAACAGTATAATAGGTTTTTTTATAATAAAATCTTTGCTTAAAGAGTAGATGATAATTATGTTTTAAAGATCCGACCTCGCGGTTGCGCCTGTAGATCTCGTGGGCCACCTCGAGCCTGGTCTCCTGGAGCTTGGCAAGTTCGGCTTCCAAGAACTAGAGGGCAGCGGGATCCTCCGTCTCAGCTTGACCTCCTGCAAGCTGCCGAGATTTCAAAGAAAGCTTACGGGTTTTCAAAAATCGTTTTACATGTGGCTTATACATGACTTTGGATAATTCAAGCCTGGAAGGTCGCCTTCTGCTGTGGTGGCTGGGACTGAGGTCGCCGGGGTAGCGGGCGGAGCGGGCCTGAGATCATGACTCAAACTTAAGGGCGAATTTTGGGTGTTTCCACTGCTACTTGGGGGTGCTTCCAGCTAAAAGGGCTTCCAGCCCCTGACAGCTTCAATAGGGCTTCCAGCCCCTGACAGCTTCAATAGGGCTTCCAGCCCTTGACGGCTTCAATAGGGCTTCCAGCCCTTGACGGCTTCAATAGGGCTTCCAGCCCTTGACGGCTTCAATAGGGCTTCCAGCCCTTGACGGCTTCAATAGGGCTTCCAGCCCTTGACGGCTTCAATAGGCTTCCAGCCCTTGACGGCTTGAAGACAGCTAAAGGTTTTGAAGATTAAAAGGTCAAGTAAATTCAGTCAAGCTGCTCCTGGGCAGGTGCTTTCGCCGGCGGCTGCTTGGGAGGTGGCGACGTCTTGCCCTGGAGCTGGAGGCCCTTAGGAGGTGCAGGCAGTGGCTGTGGCCGCCTCCAGGGTGACAAGGGTCGACCCTGCTCATCCTGCCCATTGGAGGTCCAATTAATGTGGACCTCCTGGGATTGCTGGCTCCTGGATGAGCGGGGATCCTGGGGCTCCTGGCTGCTCCTTTTTATGCTCATTTCATCCAACTGTACCTCCAGCCAGTCGTCGATCGACTCGATTGTTCCTGATTGCTCAAATACCCGGTTAATGAACAACCTGATCGACTGGTCCTGGGGCATCTGGGTGTCGAACTTGAGGCTAAGGTGTCGCACCACATCGTTTTGCCAGTGGCCGAAGGTCTCGCCCTGGCCGCAGGGGTTATAGTTTTAGGGGATGGGGGCTTAGATAGGGACCGCAACAAGGGACACAAACATATAAAAAACAATATATATATATATATATATATATATGTACATATTTTTATGTATATTTTTTGATATATATATATATATATATATATATATATATTATAATGTATGTATAAACTTTTGCTTGTTACTCCAAGGCCGGCCTCGTCCTTGTACTGGCTGTAAAGCGCCCTCCAGTTCTCTCGCCAGGCGCTTGAGTCTGAGTGCTTTCAAACATAGACATCAACGGTTTCGTTAAATCCTTAAAACAAATGCAAAACTTTGTTACATGCGTGCAAGTGTCCGGTGCCGCCTGGCTGACTGTTTCGCTGGGGGCCCTTTCCCATCGCGGGGATGGGTCCTCCTGGGCGCCCTCGAGGCTGCTGGCCGGCCATGGCTTGGACCGGCTTGACTTGGCAGCTCCTTGGCTGCCTGACTAAGTAACTCCTAAAGCTGCTTCTTGAGCTTGGGAGCTGCAGCGGCCGAAGATCGATCTCGCTTGGGAGCATTTGCCGCCGAAAAGGGCTGTCCAGCCCTTGAAACTTTACTTGCAGGCTCATGCAGCTGGAGGGTCGATGTGTTTTTCACTCATGCATACTGGCTTATGCAGTCGAGGCCACCGGGCTTCCAGCCCTGGCTTGGAACACTAAAAGACTTGAAACTAGGACTCCAAAAACTTAGCCTTCTCCTTGAAGGCCTCTGCCAAAGAGCCGCCCTCGGCGAGCTTCTTCTTCATCTTGGCAACCTGAAGCTTGGTCTTATCCCGACCATGCTTCCTGCACACGATCTGGAAAAGCTGCCTAGAACCGTCGACTCTCAATGCGACACTGTCGTGGTAGTGCATGATCTGCAGCTTGCCCCTTTCAGCCTCCGTCAACTCGGGCTTGTCCTTGTCCTTGGGGGCCTGATGATGGAGAAAACATTCAGGGCTTCACTTAAATACATCTTCCTAGATAGAAATATATGCTTACGAACAACAAAAATTTTTTTCTAATGTTAAGATTAGAGGCCGGCTTCTTCTTCGGCTTGTCACTGTCCTTTTTCACAGGCTTAGCGGCTGCAGCTGGTTTCTTCAAAACCTCGCCCTCCCAAGACTTCCTGATTCGAGCCTTGCTGCCTGGCACGGGACTGCCTTCGGCTTCCTGGCTCAAACTCGTCTTGGCGGTCTTGGGAGTGTCTGGAAGCTCCAGATCCCTGGTCCGAATCTTTCGAAGCGGACTGCTCGCAGGGGCTAACGACCGTAGCTTTGGCGGCTTGGTCGCAGGGCTTGGCGTCCCTGTGCTCGGCCGCTTGGTGTTGTGGGTCTCCGCCTGCTGGAGCTTGGCTGGTGAGGCCGACACTTCTGGAAGAAGCAGCGCCCTGAGTTCCTCGAGATCCTTGATCTCGAACTGGGTCGCCTTGCTGCAAGCCTCCTTGAACCTGGTGTCGTTGCACAAGCGGCGAGCATGAGCCATGACGGTCAGCAGCATCTCGGCCGTGTCCCCAGCCCAAGCAGTTTGCTTGCTCAGCGGGGCCTGGTGGATGAGGTCCGGGTAGTCTTTGCTGACCTTGGCCAAGCACTCCTTCAAGTCCTTGTACTTGAAAGCCAAGCCGCTCTCCACCTCCTGGAGTTTCTTGAGCAAAACCGTCGCCTTTGAAAGCCCTTTGGCCTGGACAGCACTCGTCTTGGCTAGGTTGCCGTAGGGGTCGAAGTTGAAGGCGGCCTGGACACCTAGGAGCTTGACGTGTTTCTTGAACACGTCCAGCAAGTGCTCCTGGTCCACCTCCGGCTTGGCGACGTTGCGTTCGCCGCCGCGGCCAGCAGCTGCGGGGCTGCCCATGGCTCTAAGAACCTGAGGACTTGCCTGGCGGCCTGCAGCACTTAAACCCGACAGACCTGCCTGGAGCTTGAAGCCCAGGACCTGGCTAGGCCTGCCTGAAGCATGCAGCGTACTATGAAAAAAAACTTCAGCTCAGGTCCTCTTCTCGCCAAGACAATTTTGCATGTCAAGCAGGGCTTGATCGATCTCGGCTTGAATTATACCCTGGCAGTAGCCTGCCCTGGATTAGCACTTGAATTAAGCCGCTTCTAACAAACGACCCCTTGAATCTTGGAAACTTGAGGCTTGTCCTGGAGCTCACCTCCCAGCCGCCTGGCACTGGTCAGATCCTCGGACCTGGCGCACGGGCGGCTCAATTTCAAAAAAATGTAGCGTCCACGTGCTCCATGATCCTCGCCCGCAACTCCTGGTCGCTCCAGGACTGGTGTACCTTAAGCCCCACCCGCACTGCTTCCGAAAGTAGTTGAGGCTTCGTCATTCCGCTCAAGGGGCCTGGGTTTGCTTGGAGAGCGATCAATGAAGCATCGTTGAGCAACAAGCGGATGTACCCGTGCTCCTTCATCTTCATGTGCTTCGTCGCCTCCGGCCAGCGCTCGGGGTCGATGTCCATATCATTCTCGATCTTGTACATGAGGTACTCCAAAAAGTTCAGGAAGCCCACTTCCTTGTCGACATCCCTTAGCTCTATATAAGTAAAAAATTAAATACATAGTCTATATACGGCATATGTATAAGTATATGTATATATATATATATATGTATATGTATATGTGTTCATGCCAAGAATCTCCAGCTGGTCTAGGTAACCTCTCCGCCACATCACGACCAAGGACCTCGCGACTTTGCCTGGAACCTTGGCGTGAAGCAGCTTGGCATAGGCCTGGACGACAATTTCATCATCGCCCTGCATCTTGACCTAGCCCAAAGTTCCTGGCAGCTTGGCTTGAAGACGGCTGCCATGCACGAGATTTGAAGCATGATTCCCCCCCTTCTTCCTTCTTAGGGCCGTCCGGCCCCTGGAAGCTTTGGTTGCAAGACGGCTGCCATGCACGAACCTGCCAAAAATGATTCCCCCGCCTTCTCCCTTCGTGGGGCCGTCCGGCCCACATCCCATCTCTTCTGTCTGTCTCCTCCGTCTTTCTGTCTCTCTGTCTCTCTGTCTCTCTGTCTCTCTCTCTCTCTCTCTCTCTCTCTCTCTCTCTCTCTCTCTCTCTCTCTCTCTCTCTCTCTCTCTCTCTCTCTCTTTGGTTAGCAAACTGGGGCCGCCCGGGCCGTCGTTTCAGCAAGCTGAAATCAATAGAAACATCCACCTCAAAATCAATAGAAAATCTCCATAAAATCAATAGAAACATCCACCTCAAAATCAATAGAAAATCTCCATAAAATCAATAGAAATTTTCCATAAAATCAATAGAAATTTTCCATAAAATCAATAGAAATTTTCCATAAAATCAATAGAAAGACCACGATTAAAATCAATAGAAGTCAACACTCAAAATCAATAGAAACACGTACCAACAAAAGTTCCAAACGATTGAAATTTCCTCAAATTCAATAGAAGTTTCGTGTGCCTCCAAAATCAAGCGGCCGATTGAAAAAAATCAAGCGGGCGTCCTCTGGGAGTACTCGTGTGGAGAACGTTCGCGTCGCACAGGACGGCCAAAACCAGCTCGACTGGAATCTCGTCTATCCGGTGCTCACGAACCAGAATTTGGAACTCAAAGTGTAGCGTCGTGGAGCGGTGCCCGTCCGCTCTTTTCTCGGTGGTGCTGGGTGGCCTTATTGACATCTGGCCGTGAAGCCGCAAGTGGGGCACCCGCGGATGCAAGGATTTAACGTTAAAGCCCTGAACACTGGTCCGAATTAGAGGCCTCATCGAACTTATAGGTAGCCACCTACTGCTGCTTACGAGAGACACAGAGAGAGAGAGAGAGAGAGAGAGAGAGAGAGAGAGAGAGAGAAATTCTTGCGGAACCTTGCTTGCTGCGTCTGCTGCGATTCTGGTTGAAGGCCCAATAGATTCGCTTAGGGAAGCAGAACGAGTATAAAATAAACACACTCCGAAAGAGTATCACCTCCACAACCAGAAACACAATCGAACGCAATGTTCCATAGGGTCTGGCCGCGTCGACGCCACATCGTCTCAGCAGCACAACAGCACCTTTGAGCAAGGGCACGATCAGCAGAGCTTCGTCGAGCTTGATCTACGTGACTTTGTTCACATCCGCGACGCCGCTAGGTGCACGTTGTCTTGCACACAATCAACACAACGCGTCGCTGCACCACTTGCAAAATTGGAAACGGGATAAGTACAGCCCGTTACCGAGCGATTGTCTTGCTGAGGAGAAGACCGGCGGGCATCTTGCGAGTCAAGAGAACCTGAGCTGCAGCAAACGGTCTTGGAATGGATGCAAGAGAAGCAAAGAAACACACACACCAATACGCACTCGCTTTCCTACTGCCACGCATTTTTTGTGCACAGCAGCCTTGCCTTGCTAACTTTGCTACACCGCGCCGCCGAACTTTCGCAAGACAGCGTCCATTCGCCAGCAGCGCGTGCCTCCAAGTTCAGAGACCCACAGCCTCGCCTTGCTAACTTTGCTACACCACACCCCCGAACTTTCGCAAGACAGCGTCCATTCGGCAGCGCGCGCCTCCAAGTTCAGAGACCCATGGTGTGCAAGCAGGCCTCCATCTCTGCGGTGAGATGCTTCCCGGCCCAGCCGCGAGCGTTCATCCTCGAAGAGACGCAGTGCACATCGAAGTTCGGGAGGCCGGCGTAGTGCTGCATGCAGCGAACGCATCCCTCACTGGCCGCGTAAAGAAATTTGTACTGGGCTTTTCGCTCTGCCGTCAGCTTGTCGTGCTTCCTTTCGAAGCCAAGGCAATGAGGCGCATCCGGACAGTCAGATCCCGGACGCTCGGTCTCAGATGCAGGCCCGGGCTCATTCCGAGATGCAGGCCTTGTCTTCGGGCCGGCAGACGGCGGCTGCGGTCCACGCCTCCCAGAGCCTGCCGCCCGCGAAGCGGTGTCATTTGCATGACTCCAAAACCCGCTGTTCGCAGAGCCGGAGGTGCCGGAGAACCACGGGGGGACATCAGCGAGATTTTTGCGATACGTTTCAAGACGAGTCATTTCGCCGGTGAGAAACTTGGTGATCTCATTCCCCGCCGGGCCGATCTTGTCTGGATGGCACCGAAGCATCATCTTTTTGTACCTGTTCCTCAGCAACTTCATGTCTACAGTCGCTGCGCATTCACCAAACACTCCAAGATGATCAAGAAAGTTCTTGAAAGATCCATCCATGTGCTCCACACACGCTGCTTTCGCAAGACAGCGTCTGCACTGCGTAAACAGAATAGCTACAATCGCACCGATCTTGAGCCAGGCTGCAAGAGACTGGCATCACGTGCAGAGCATACCCTGCGAAACATATGTGCAGCAGAGGCAAGGTGCACGCTGTCTTGGAATTGGAAAAAAAAAACAAACACAAACACACAACGCGTCGCTGCACCACTTGCAAAAAATGGAAACGGGATAACTACAGCCCGTTACCGAGCGATTGTCTTGCTGAGGAGAAGACCGGCGGGCATCTTGCGAGTCAAGAGAACCTGAGCTGCAGCAAACGGTCTTGGAATGGATGCAAGAGAAGCAAAGAAAAACGCACCGATACGCACTCGCTTTCCTGCTGCCACGCTTTTTTTTGTCGCACATCAGCCTTGCATTGCTAACTTTGCTACGCCGCGCCGCCGAACTTTCGCAAGACAGCGTCCATTCGGTAGCAGCGCGCGTCTCCAAACTCAGAGACCCATTCTTTGCAAGCAGGCCTCCACCTCTGCGGTGAGATGCCGCGCGGCCCAGCCACGAGCGTTCATCCTCGACGAGACGCAGTGCGCATCGAAGTTCGGGAGGCCGGCGTAGTGCTGCATACAGCGAACGCAGCCCTCACTGGCCGCGTACAGAAATTTGTACTCCGCTCTACGCTCTGCAGTCAGACGGCGGTATTTGTGTTCAAAGCCTTCGCAATGAGGCGCCTTCGGACAGTCAGAGCTCGGACGCTCGGTCTCAGATGCAGGCCGAGGCTCATTCCGAGACGCAGGCCTTGGCTTCGGGGCGGCAAACGGCGGCTGCGGTCCACGCCTCCCAGAGCCCGCTGCCTGCGAAGCGGTGTGATTCGCATGACTCCTAAACCCGCTGTTCGCATAGCCGGAGGCGCCAGAGGACCACGGGGGGAGATTTTTGCGATACGTCTCCAAACGAGTCATTTCCCCGGTGAGAAACTTGCAGAGCTCATTCTGCTTGTCGCCGGCCTTGTCGGGATGGCACGTAAACATCTTCCCTCTGTACTTCCTCCTCACCATCTTCATGTCTACAGTCTCTGCGCGTTCAGTAGACAATCCAAGAAGTTCAAGAAATTCCTTGAAACCTCCAGCCATGTGCTCCGCACACAGTGCTTTCGCAAGACAGCGTCCGCACTGCAAGAATAGCAACGATCGCACCGATCTTGAACCAGGCTGCAAGAGACTGGCATCACGCGCAGAGCATGCCCGACGTGCAGCAGAGGCAACCCAAAACTCCGAGTAAGGCCCGTGCAGCAAGGACTGGATGGTGGTCGCCGAAGAACAGGAAACTGCGCAGCAAAGAAAAGCAAGCGACGCCGATGCACTCGTTTGCTCCCTCACACTCACTCAGCAGCTTTTGCACACTCCGTCGGTCCAATCACGGCTCCGTGCAGAGGCTACATATATAGCCCACGAGCAGAACGTGCAGCTTTCGCAAGACAGCGTCCACTGCTCCGCACAGGGAGGCTACATATAACATATATAGCCCACGGTCGGAATGCAGCTTTCGCAAGACAGCGTCCACTGCTCCGCACGAGGACAAGACTGCACGACCTTTAGTCAACTCTACTCCTACGTGCGTCTCTGTCGCTGAAATACGATCATAAGTTCGAGTTCCGTCTTCAGCAACTCCTTCATGAGATCCGTCGCGTGGATGGTGTTCACGGAAACGATCTTATCCCCTTTCTGCACCCGCCGCACACGGCACGACGACGAGGAAGGCATCGACTCCATGAGTGCGTTGTGCGTGTCAACAAGCCCATCTGGTACGACTTCGAACACCTCCATGGTGCGAGTGACATATTTCAGTCCGATCTTACTCTCTCTGCTGTCACGATGAAGCATCACCATAAATTCTTTCTTATGGGTCCGCATTCCATGAAGCGGGGGTGGAGGCGGAGGACGATGACCGCCTCCTTGCTCGGCACCACGATTGCACAAAGCAGCCACACGCTCTCTGACGATTTCATTGCCAGGACGAGGCCGCCGCATATATAGCCCACGAGCAGAATGCAGCTTTCGCAAGACAGCGTCCACTGCTCCGCACGGGGAGGTTATCAAGGCGGTTCAGGCCAAACACTGCAGAAGTGTGTACAGGTGGAGCAGCGACATAAAACTGCTCAGACTCGATAACACACGTCGAAGCTCACAAGTAGAATATTGAATACTTGACAACACGACATGAGCCAAATCGTAGTATCAAAACACAGCAACACAGTTGCACGTCAACAGATAGGATCGGCTGCTGTGCCTTCTCCTCGCACCGAGGCAGCAGCTTCTGGACCTCGTGCAGAGAACTGCACTCATAGCACACGAAAACACGCATTTCGCTCGTGTGCAGACGCATATGTTTTTATCGTCGTCGTGCTAACCATGCGAAATGGGCTCCGCCGCGCCGGTCGAACTTTCGCAAGACAGCGTCCATTCGGCGGCTTGCGGCAGCCGGAGCTGCACTCGATCGTTAAAAAAAAACAGCAAACCAAGCCCCACCAGCGGCTCAGGCACTCTGCCACCCTTCGGAAAGGGTATATAGCAGTGTCCCGTCCTCGGAGCGCAATTCGGCACGAA